GTCGGAGAGGTCTGTGCTTTTCATGTTGAAACTGACTGTACATATATGGAGCGGGTCGGAGAGGTCTGTGCTTTTCATGTTGAAACTGACTGTACGTATATCAGATTAACTTGCAGATTATAGTGCGGAGCAGTGGAACCCATGTATTGGTTTTCCTGTGTCATTTGATTGTGTTGGATGTTGCAGACAGGCGTTGTGTCTACGCTGTTTTTCTTGAGGGAATATTTGACAGTTGGTATGAGCTTCGTTACGCAAAATGAGATCACAAACTATTACTCCCGTCTTTTCTATGTAGTCGATGTCTCTCTTCTGGTCTAATATGCATCCGAACGGTGGAGGAGTGACAACTGTTTCTACCGTTGTTTTGTGAAAATGGGATGTAAAGAAATTAAACTGTATCGCATCTCTCAAGATATGGCTATCATGCTGGGAGGCTTTCAGAAAATAGCGTAGACAGTGGTTCCTTCAAAGGTTCTCGCTTTGGCGGCCCTGCTTCGTGAGCCCATTTCTGATTCTTCTGAACCCTTTTCTTCTGGTTATGCTTCCCCTTTTTGTTCCTTTTCTGTATGTTTCCTGGTCTTCTTTGCTCTGTTTTTTCTCCTGCGGATACCGTCACACTCTCTCCTTGCGAAATCCCTTTTCAATCCTTGCGTGCTCTCTTTTGATGTGGCACTGTTGCTTTCGTAATGTAGTACACTGCCTGGATTGTGGTGGACCTGGCCGACCTATCATCATGGTTAACATGACATGGGCGGAAAGAACAGAATCAAGCTGATTTGATCCTGGTGGTGGAAGTTGCGGGGCTTGATAAGGGATGGTGGTGGTACTTTCAGCGAGGTATATAGGAGCGGATTGCTGTATCAGTGCTGTAAGCTGTGATTTGAGGTTTCAATTCATGTTGCAGTGGTGAAACACAGGTGGATTTACAATCCCTTTGCGATCCCGGCTTATTATGTCACAGGGTGGCATTTACACTCTACCGGCACATCTCTCACAGGGGGCAAAGGATTTGATTCCAAAGATGTTGGTTGTTGACCCCATGAAACGTGCAACAATAGCCGACATACGACAACACCCGTGGTTTCAAGCTCATCTACCACGGTATCTTGCAGTTCCAGCACCAGATGCTGCACAGCAGGCCCAGAAGGTATGTGGTTGATCTCCACTGGACAACAGAATTTGTGGCTTTCCCCCCAAGCATGTGTGTAATGCCCTTCAGTTTTATTGTGCTGGTGTGCAAATGTAGTGGTTTGTTTCTCTATAATGGTTGTGTGTGCAAGAAGAGAGGAACCGTGTGGGGAATCCTACGGAATGCGGTCCTCACAAATGTTGAAAACAGTTTGCTCTGGTCGGTTGCAAAGCTGCAATGTGTTTCAAAGTCTCTCTGGTTATGACCCAGCGATGCCAAATAAGCACAGAAAAGTGGGCAGTTGTCCCTGTTTGCAAGCAACACAGGTCGAATTGAGTCTAGGGAAATGGGTAGATGCTGCTGTCTTCTCCATGATGGAATGCCCGAGCGTCATGGGCATATCGAAGCCTAGTAGTCATGGCACCCTGTCATTCCATTCATCAAAGATGCTACTGGCTTCCTCTGGTGGTGTCCCTCCTCCCATATGATCCTTGGCCACTGCTAGATGGATGTGCGGAAACTACCGTCTTCACCCGAAAATAACACGCCCGGGCGCTGTAAACGAATATAACGCCCGGAGGGCATTATATTCGTTTACGACGCCCGGGCATTATATTCGGTAAATCGGTGGCAACTTCGGTGGGGCCCCAAAATTTTGAAAAAAAAAAGATGAAATAAAAAAGTTCTGTAAAAAAAGTATGTTGTCCAGAATTGCTATGCAACCAACTTTTGGCTGAGGGTCACTTCAGAATTCCTCATAAATTCGGAAAAAAAAAAGAAAAAAAATCTGCAAGGAGGGTACACTCTTACCACCACCCTTTCAGCCCACACGTGTTGTTTCAAAACAATAAAAGAAGGCAAAAAGTCAAACCAAATCATACCCCTTGGAAGTCAAAACCCCCTTCAACCCCCTTTAAAACCCATGTATACTCCCCCTCCCCCCTTTAAAACCCATGTATACTGCCTTTTCAAGGCACTCTGCCCATGACATATTCGAATATAACGCCCGGGCATTATGTTCGAATATAACACCCGGGCTGTTGTATTTGAATATAACAGCTGGCCCTTATATTTGAAGGGGCGTTCTATTCGAAAAACTATGATTTATTTTTTCAAGGGTAAGTTGAATATAACGCCCCGGTGTTATTTTCTGGTGAAGATGGTAGGCCTGGTGTATGGTTCCGCACCCAGTCTGTCTCTCAGTCTAGTAACCTCAGAGCTTGAGAAATTACGAAGAGATGGACTCTCCTCCCTCTTATGTTCGGACCTCCAGGCTATGTTAGTCTCCTTGCGAATGAGGCAATACGTACATTGGAGTGATCTTGTGACCTACCTAACGTGGTGGTGATAGGACTGGTATTTACAGCCAGGAGAGACAACATAGGTTGCTACGGTGCCTGGGCAGAAAGCTCACTCGGGGCATTTTCATTCTGACGTCTTAGACCACCAATGCATGTGGTCGAGCTACCAGTGCAGGGGGGCCCCAGTCATCGGTTGGTTCTGTCTAATGGCCAATTGCTTCAGCTCAGGGGTGCGATCACTTTCGGAGTGTTACTGAAAAGGAATAATTGGTAAACAAGTTAAAACAACAGTAGGGAAGAGTCGTGGAAAGTTGCGAGTGTGGCACACATTTTTTTGGATTTAAACTTCAAAGGGATATCCAATGGTAAGAGTGTAAAACAGGACTGCTTCGAATTCCAGATAGTATCATATTCGACAATGTCGTCTGGCCAGCAGGTCCAGCATATCCAACCCCTCTATTGCCATGCACAGAGTCTTGCGCTTTGTCTGATAGACTTGTGTCGGCAAGGCTTTTTTTAAATTCTGTTTGTGAATTGCTTGCAGAGATTTCTGCGAAGAACCTTTGCAGGATCGTGTTCGCTGCGAATGGTTGACATGGTGGTATTTGGATTGCAGACTTTGCTACTGAGTACTTCCTGCAGGTGTTCCACACACCTGCGACCGTTTTCCCCCGAACACAACAGACCCCGATAATGAGTGTATACAGACTATGTTTCCGTCCCGATACAGTCAAATGAGATTGTGTTCTATTGGGGGGAAGACGGTAGTGGCTATTCTGCATCCATCAAGAACTGACAATCTAGTTGTTGGTATAGCATTCCTTGTCTTTCAGGCATTCCTGTCGATGTGCGACCCTGTACCACCACCTTCCTCTGAAACTTTCTTTGGTATAATGAAGAGGCGGTGACCTCGATCCCCTGGCCTGGCAGGGACCGATTCAATTTGTTCAGATGCAGAAGCAGGTTTGGCGATTAGGTTCTGCCGTACTGTTAGTTTAATGAGCATTATGAAGCAACTAATTATCAAGATTGACTGAGGTCAATATAGATGCTTCTGTGGTGATCAGATGCATTCACATCATTCCTGAGCTGCTCGACCGTCTTCCCCTGGAGTGACCTTTGGATAGTGACTGTCTGACACTTGACCTGTTGTCGACATCGTTGAGGGGTCCAGCACAATATAGGTGGTGGTCCATTTGTGAAAATATGAGGGCTTGTGTTGCAGGAATATTTTGGGCCCCTGACACCCTGTGAGAAAACCCATGCCCATATTATCATGACATGGATTTTTTTTTCTGCTGTCTGAACTTTCATTTCTATTTTCTTAGTGACCCTTCGATTCTGCGCAGATGCTTGCACTGTCTTTGCCAGTGTCCGTGTGCAATTACGGTGGATGCGGATTTGCGATCGTCCTTTTGGGCATCTGCATATGGTGTCATCCCTGAACCTCACAAAGTGCCAACGGTAGTGCCAATTGTTTTCCTGTTTTGACTCCCTTTATATATATATATCCCACTACCTACCTACCTACTCGCAGCTTAGCAATCCACTACAGGGTTTTTTCGTGTCCAAGGTAGGAAATCTCTCCAAGGTATTGCTCTGTGCGGGGAGCAGTACCCAAGCTTCTAACACCGGGCGCGAGCTGGAAAGTGCAAATGGTCGCTTCCCAGCCAGCCAGGAGGCCCAAGCCAATTATCTCCGCTGGAGAACCCGAAGCGCATCACGGGAGGTTGTGGGGATAGAATGGATGACGTGGGGAATCAAACCCAGGACCTCCTGCAAACCACTTCCGTGCTAAACCAACTGAGACTCCCTTTTTGTTTTGCTTCGGGTGAGAACCTCAGAAAGTGCCGGCAGCAGTGGCGATCGTTGCCCTGTTCCAATGTCTCTGTTTTACTACATGTTAGAATAGTGGCGGCTGATCTTCTCCCTCAGAAAGTGCTTCCGTTAAAATTGGAACCATACAGAGAAGATTAGCATGGCCCCTACGCAAGAATGACACGGATAAATCGAGAAATGGTCCAAAATTTTTAAATAAGAAAGAAAAAGAAAAAGAAAAAAGAATAGTGGCGGCTGATCGTCTCGATCGGGTCCTCTGGCTAAACCACATCTGGGCACCTTTGCTGGTAGTTGCAGGACTGTTTTGTTCAGGGACATTGTTCTAGGAAATGATAGTCCTCTTGTTGAAGGAGGAGAGTATATGATTGCCACGTAGCACATGTAGAATTTCATCATTACCATTGATTGGAACTCAGTTCTACAATTGCTATTGTCAGAACGGATCAGGACATCCTTGCTTCCACGTGCAGGTCACGAATACGGCCCATTTGCACGCTCAGGTGCATTCTAGCAATGTCTTTGTGGAATCTTAGACATGATCGTTGCCAGTTGTTTCCTCACCCTGGCATTGAAGCCATCTGTGTGGTTCACTCCATCGTCGTTGCAAGTCGTTATTGCAGTCTTCGCTTTGGTGCATTGCTTGAGTGCCATTACCTGCATAATGGAAACATTTCGAGAGTGGAATTCAGGCCGTCAGGACACCTCTTGGAGATCTGGGTCCCATGGCTACCTCCAATATGTCTTCTCTCCTTCTCGCCCCGGCCCCCGCGGCCCCTCTCCTCAGAACAACTGTATTTCATTTAGGCATTGGGAATTGACAGTTAGTGGTTGGGCGCGCCACTGGGCTAGGAATCATGCTTGCAAAACACTTCGCTCACAGAGGTATTGTCCGACTGAATGCAAAGGTATTACCGAGCTCAAGTAATGTTTTGCTTGGAAAGTATTTGCTCTCCTCGCACTCTTTTGTTGTCCTCTCTATTATGGTTAAGTAGTGCTAGGATTGTTGATCTATGAGATTCTAGGGGATATGGTAGGGGCTTCACTCTTGTGTACTCCCCCGAAGGACGAAACGTTCGGCGGGTGGTTATGTGGCATGCTGACAGACAACGGAATCCTCTGTGCTGTACAGCCAGGAGATTTTGCTTTTAGGGCTGTCTGCAGCGTTGCATAGCTGGCGACCGCCAACCCCAACCGCCGAGTCGAGCCGGCCGTTTTGCAGCCGACCAGTCAGAAAACAGTCATCCACTGTTTTTTTTTGTTAATCTGAGTTGAGGCCTGTACTGCGCTTGCAGAGTACAGCCCAAATCCACTGCAAAACTTTTGGGTCTGTCTCTTATACACATCTAGATGTGTATAAGAGACAGGGGTATGGGTGTATAGGGGGCGGGTATGGCGTTGTTGGTGAGGTTATTGGGGGTGCCAGACCTTTTTTCTTTTTTTTTACAGGGTGCCAACAACCCCTGACCAGTAGGTGGTCGGCTGGTCGGCATCCGACCAGTCAAGGGGCACCGACCGCTGGGGTATGCAACACTGGCTGTCTGTCTGCATGCAGTCTCACTTTTTTTGTTTTTTGTTTTTTGACAAGTAAATGCTAAATAGTAAATACAGTGTCTTCTCCTTATACATGGGGGACAAGCTGTATTTGCAACCCTGTTTTCTTCTCTCAATCTTGTATCTGCATCACTCTAGCTACCTACCTACAGTAGTCCGACCACAAACCCTACCTTAATCTAGCAACGGGAATCAAGCTATTGTACGGGTTATGGGTTGCGCCTATCTACCTCCCCCTCCCAGCCTACGTATTCTCTTGGGGTTGAGCCTGTCCCCTCAGGTTGTATCTAACCCCCAGCATGGGTGGAAAAGGTCATAGTTACCCCG